GAGAAACCCTGTCTGGAAAAAAAGAAAAGAAAAGAAAAGAAAAGAAGGAAGGAAGGAAGGAAGGGGGGAAGGAAGGAAGGAAGGAAGGAAGGAAGGGGAGGGAAAAGAAGGAAGGAAGGAAGGAAGGAAGGAAGGAAGGAAGGAAGGCCTACACTTCTAATTTCCAGAGCGGCAGGCGTGTCGGCTGAGCCCAGCTCCTCCCTTTACATGGGCGTTCCTATGCATGCAGACTGCTGTTCAGTGACTACCTGTTCCGGGGACACGAGAAGAGCCGGTGAGCCGCCATACTGCAGTGCCCACGGCTCGGGCTTCCTTACCCAGCTGGGATCGTCAGGACCCAAATAAATAAATGTGCAGGCTGCTGGCCTACCGAGGCTTCTACAACCCACCACCAAAAGTCCTGAGCTCGGCCAACCAACTTCACAAGACTTTAAAAAATGCAACCCAAAGCCGGGCATGGTGGCACACACCTCTAGTCCCAGCGCTCAGGAGGCAGAGGCAGGTGGATTTCTGTGAGTTCTAGACCAGCCTGGTCTACAGAGAGTGCCAGGACAGAAACTATCTCGAAAAAAAAAAATCAATGTAATAATTTCTTTATTCCTCTGTATGAGGGTCTGCCCCAGGCGGGAGGATGGAGGTCAGATGACAACCTTTTGAAATCAGGTCTGTCTCTCCACCAAGCAGATCCTGGGTCTCGAACTTGGGTTGCTGGCCTTTGTTTACCCAGAGCCATCCAGACATCCCACTCTTCCTCAGCAGCCCACGCAGACAAAGCAGCCCTCCTGGAGGGCTCCACTAGGCCACAGGGGTCACCTCTAAAACCGTCACATTCAGGGGCTGCAGAGGCGGCCCATGGTCAGCGCACCGGCTGCTCTTCCAGAGGACCTGGGTTCAATTCCCAGCACCCACATGGCAGCTCACACTGTCTGTAACTCCAGCTCCAAAGCTCCTGATGACTGCACACAAACATAGGAGCAGGTCAAACACCAATGCACATAAAATGAAAATAAGTTATATATTTAAAAAATTACATTAAATCTGTGAGTTCGAGGCCAGCCTGGTCTACAAAGTGAGTCTAGGACAGCCTAGGCTACACAGAGAAACCCTGTCTCAAACAAACAAACAAAAAACCCAAATTTTTTTTTTTAATATTTAACTTTCTATTTTTAAAAAAATTTTATGTGTGTTTTTACCTGAGTGCACATATGTGTACCACACGCACGGCTGCTGCCCTCAGAAGCCAGGACAGGTGCCAGGTCTCCTGAGACGGGGGTTACAGGCAACTGGGAGCCACCGTGTCGGTGCTGGGAGCTGAACCCTGGTCCTCCGTACAAACCTCAAGTTCACTTCAGCAGTTCTCAGTCACTGTGCGCGCTCACCCTTGAGGGCAGAGGACCACCTGCAGGGCTCAGCTGTCTCCACCCTGTGGGTCACCAGGCCCCTCTGCCCACTGCCACACCCCACCAGCCTTTTCATTAGCGGGACCAACAGCTGACAGTCACCTCGGAGCAGAGGCTCCACAAACCGTGCACTGATCTGGAAGAGGGAACTTTCCCAGCAAAAGAAATCGGGCTTTTTAACATGGCCCTGATGGCTCGGCCTCCCTCCCGTCCTGGTGGGGGTACATTCCTTACAGAAGAGGAAGGTCTGCTGTGACACTTGAAACAAAAACTAGAAAACGTGGTAACAGTGTCAGCGCTTCCTGCTGATGCAGCCTTATCTTTTCAAAACCTTAAAAAAACAAGCTGAGCGCTGGAGTACATGCATTCCACTCAGGCACTCGGGGCAGGGGCTGCCAGATCTCCAAGTCTGAGCCAGCCTGGGCTACACGGCCAATTCTGGGACAGGCTACCTAGTGAGAACTCACCCACTCCAAATAATTCAACTACATTTTACGCTACATTGTATGCTCCTGCACGTGGCCTGTGTGTGGAAGCCAGAGGACAACTTGGGGAAGCCACTCTCCCCTTCCACCTTGTGGGGCCTGAACTCAGGCCATCAGGCTGGGCAGCAGGGTCCTCTTCACACCTGAGCCATTTCCCTCACCCTCTCCCTCCCTTACCTCCTCTCTCTCTCCTTCACCCTCTCTATCTGTCTCTCTGGTTTTAGTTTTTCAAGACAGGGTTTCTCAGTGTAGCCTTGGCTACTCTGTACACCAGACTGGCCTCGAACTCACAGAGATCCCCCTGCCTCTACCTTCCCAGTGCTGGGATCACAGGCGTCACAGGCGTGCGCCACCACTGTCCAGCACAAACAGTCTTAGGCGGTGGCGCACGCCTGTGATCCCAGCACTGGGGAGGCAGAGACAAGCAGATCTCTGTGAGTTTGAGGCCAGCCTGGTCTATAGAGTGAGTCCAGGACAGCTAGGGCTACGCAGAAAAGCCCTGTCTCGAGAAAACAAAATAAACCGAGAAATGCATAAACAAGTGAATAAAGGAAGAGAAGCAGTCTCGACTGGGGCTTCTCCAGCCCTGGCCTCCCGTCTGAGGTCCTCACACCATCACGATACTCCACACGTTAACGCTCTCCTCAGAGCTTTGGTTTAAAATTAGGCCCTAGCTCTGAGAGGCATTGAGGCTTCTCTTTACTTCTATCCAGATGCTATAATTTGATTTTCCAGGACTGGGGCTGTAGCTCAGTAGTATTTACCTATCATGTGCAAGGCCCCGAGTTCAAACCTAAGTATCAGAAAAACAATACAGACTTCTCCTCTCATAACATTTTAAGATCTAGGCTTTCTTTCTTGCTGTATGCTATGATGTACCTGTTCCCTGTAAGGGCAGTGAAGGTGTACCCGTGTGAGCTCATCCACCTGTGTGAGCGCACGTGCACGCAGGGGCCAGCAGCTGACGCTGGGGGCCTTCCGCAGCTGCTCTCCACCTTCGGTCTCAAGGCAGGGTCTCTCCCCAGTCAGAGCCTTTCCGGTGATGGACTGCTACCACACACCCTCCGGACACCCTCCTGTCACCTACCTGGGTGAGGATTTGAACTCAGTTCTCAGGCTTGCATGGCAAGGACTTTTCCCAGTGAGCCATCTCCTCAATAGACCCACACATTCTCCTCTGCGGGGTGTGCGTGTGCATGAGTGTGTGTTACACAGTTTAGGCTGGCTTCGAACTCCCCACTGTCCTCCCTCAGCCTCCCCAGTGTTGAGACCATACATGGTGGCCCAAGTCCAGCCACAGCGGTTTTTACTTTGACCAAAACCACTTCCAACCTCACAATACAAAAGGAAACTGAGAACACAGCGAGGGCTTCCGTCAAGCGCACTCTAGTATCATAAAGCCTGGGCTGGACCCCAGCACCTCACAAACCAGGCTAGCCGTACACTCCTGTAATCCCAGCACTGGCAGGAGGAAGCGAAAGGACCCGAGGCTTAAGGCCAGCCTTAGCTGCATGTTCAAGGCTAGCCTGGGTGACTTGAGAGCCTGTCTCAAAAAGCCACGGAACATTTTAGAGAGGGTGACGATGGACTAGAGACAAATTTCCAAGCTGTCTCCAGGGACACCTGGATCCTCATTTCTCGTCTCCTCGTGATCATAAGTGACAAACGATGGAAACAGAATCCTCCATATGGCACTGGGTAAATTACTAAACCCCTCTCTGCTTTTTGATCTCCCATCTGTCACATGAGAACAATACTCCTTTTTTTTTTTTTTTCTTTTTTTCCCAGGCTGGTATGCATACAACAGGAGTGCTTTCCTTATTAAAGAAAATAAATAAATAAAACAGCAGTGTAGTAAGGGAATACTAGAAAACCAGGTAAAATAAGTCCCCAAGAAAACAGAACATCTGCTATCCCATGTTAATCAAATAATTCCTAAGAAGGGGAGCTTACTAAATAACCAGAATCTGGGCTAGGGCTGTAACTCAGGAGAGTCGAGGACAAGAATAAACAGTGCCTGTGCTAAAGGTGGATCTTAGAACCAAGCCTCCGCTCCCCAGGGCCCAGCGTGGTGGCACAGCCTTTAGGTCAGCACTAGGGAGGTAGAGGCCAGAAAAACCAAGAGTTCACTAGAGGAGACTTAGTACCCTGAAGAAGGACCCGCTCTGAGGGCAGGCGGCAAAGCACGCCTGTAACCCCAGCCCTTAAAGAGCTGGAGGCCGGAGGATTCCACAGCTAGCCTCAGCTGCAGAGTGAATTTAAAGGTCAGCCTGGACGGTGTGAGATCCCAAGATCTCAGGACAACCTTAAAAAAAAGGGGGGGGGGGGGGGCGAGCTGGCTCAGCAAGTGTGGGAGCTTGCAGCCATGCCTGTAGCCCCGAGTCTGACGCCCAGGACCCACGGTGGCAGGAAATGGCTGGTTCCTACAAGCTGTCCCCTCATCTCCACACCAGCCACGGAACACACAAGCCCCTACAGCACATAATAAAGCAACGTAACTCTAAGAGGGAGGGGGCGCAAAAGGGAAAATGAAAGGATCTCCCCTTCGATCCCCATCTTGGGGAAGTTAAGCTGTCCGCCAGGATAACCCGCTGGCTCTCCGCCCTGACTAGATTTCCTAGGTCGTCGAGCCTCTAGCTTGTATTCGGGAGCCTGAAAGATGAGGGTGGGCACCCGGTCCCGGCTTCTCAACCTGCCACTCGAGGCTGTCAGCCTGGGCTGATGCGCGGAGGAGTTTCCACTCCCTCCCACATCGCGCTGCTGGAGACACCCAAGCCAGACCGGGCCCTTCCCTGTCCCCCATCCCCCTTTTGGTGGCGGGGAGACGGTCTCAGGCAGCACGCGCTGGCCTTGAACCCCCGATCCACGCGCCCCTCCGTGCGGCGGCGCGTTCCACAGCGGCCGGTTTTACGCAGAGCCGTGGGCGGGCGGGCACTGCACCGAGGGAGGCGGGAGGCCCGCCCGGCTAAAGTTCCCGGGAAAGGCCGCGTCCATCTGGCCCTTTAAGCCCCCCCGTCCTCCGCGCGCCCGCACCTCTCCCCGCCGCAGTCCGCCTCCCCGGGGCTCTCTCCGGCCCCGGCCTTCCGCCGCCCCCGCCCCCGCCCGGGGCACTCACAGGAGGCCGGAGCAGGCGGTGCACACGAAGCTGCCCACGGTGATGTCCACGTAGGTGACCCCGCGCTGGGCGCACTCGAAGCAGTGGCGGTTCCCGGCCTGGCTGCAGCCGCCCAGCTCCCGCACCCGGCGGCACCACACCTCCGAGGCCGCCTCGGCCTCCGCTTTGCTGCCCGCGACCCCGCCGCCGGGGCCCGGGCCCTTCTTCGCCGCCATCACCATCGCGCCGCCGCGCTCCCGGCCGGCCGGCGGGCGCTCCGCTGCGCCGCTCGCCGCCTCTCCCGCCTCCGCCGCCTTCGCACGCCCGGCCGCCCGGACGCCAGCTCCCGCAGCCCGACCGCGACCGCGACCGCGAGAGACTCCGCCCCCTGCCTCGGCGGGCTCTGCGCGCTGATTGGCCGGGCTCCGCCCACCTCCTCGCTCTGATTGGCCAGACGCGGGACGGCCCCCGGTTGCTGGAACCTCCCGAGCCACGCCCCCCGCCGCCGGGCCTTCGGCCTCTCCCATTGGTTCACGCTGCGCGTGCCCGCCTCCCTGTCCCCGCCCCCTCTCGCCACGGGCTCTTAGGCTGACCCTGATTGGCTGCTAAGATTGCAAAATTAGCGTGCGAGAGGCCGGAGGCCTCCCGCGCGTGCGCAGTGCTCATCCTCCGGATGGGTACTAATTCCCGCCAAATTTCAAAGGCTGTTCCAGGCTGAGCCGAGAGACAAGCGAAGCAGGGAAGACGTGGGCCCAGGAGAAAGAGAGAGACGGAGAAGGGGAGAGCAAATGCGTTAGAAAACAGGTTTTGTTCACCCGAGTCACAGGAGGCGGAGGCTCGCGGGTCTGCCTGACTGCGTGAGGCCAGGACAGCCAGGGCTTCACAGGGAAACCCCGTCTCGGAAAACAAACAAAAACGCTTGAGGTGGGATGGCGAAGAATTTGCACCAATCCTTACAACCAGAGCTTGAACCCCGGAGCCCAAGCCTGTAGGCCGTCTGTGACCCCCACACAGACACACACAAGCAGGCTGTGCCCTGAGGATGTCTCCCACAGCGGGTGCTGCATCAGCCGAGGGGAGCAGCATTTGATCCCCAAGATGGCATAGTATGTACATTCATACAAACATATACAGGGAGAAAGAATATAAAAAAGTCGGGATGTAAGCGGGAGTGGGCCGCGTACTCTTTTCCATGTCTGCAGTCGCCATGGCCACAGCTTGATGCCTGGAAGGAGCTGATACCAAGTCCCATGCAGAGATGCCAGCGTCTTCCCCCAGTTAAACCCTGCTGCGTGGTTTGATTGCATGCGTCCTGAATTCCAAGCAGGCTCTCTGTGAGTTTGAGGCCAGCCAGGGCTACACAGACCCTGCCTCAGTTGCTGTGTTTCTGTTTTTTTTTCAAGACAGGGTTCCTCTGTGTAGCCTTGGCTGTTCTGGACTCGCCTTGTAGACCAGGCTGACCTCAAACTCAGAGATCTGCCTGTCCTGTCTCCCTGAGCGACCCGCTGTCTCAGTTCTAAAAAAGCCTTCTGTGCTTCCTCTGAGTTCAGCGTTCGGCACTCCCCTCTGCTGCCATTCCTTGCGCTGTTTCTCTTTAGCCAGTGCTTATTTCTTCACCTCTCAGACGGTAAGCACACAGGTTCACTTAGCCACTAGCGGTGACAATAAACTGGCATGACCATTGGACTCTGATGGCTTTCTGTCCTTTTTTTTTTTTTCCCTGCAGGGTGTAGTCGACAAGAGCAACCAAAGGGTGCTTCTCCCTCCTGCGTCTGCTCCACCCAGGCCATATCAGGGAGGGACAACCCGACTCCCCCTCATAATCAGCAGGAGCACAGACGGCCAGGGACACCATTTTCTGCTGTGGCGCTGGTGGCTGCTGGAGGCCTTGGCAGCTTTCCTGGTCTGAAGCCCTTCGCCCTGAGTGATTTGGAGGTGGGAAGCAGACGCTGCCTAAGGATTATCACCGTGGGGGCTGGAGAGGAAGCTCAGCAATCAGCAACACTTGCTGTACCTCCAGAGGCTCCGAGTTCAGTTCCCAGCACCCACACGGAGGCTCACAATCGCTATTACTCCAGCTCCAAGGAAGCAACGGCTTCTGTCCTCAGAGCACCGACCCACGGTGGTGTTCACAGCCCCCCACACGCACCAGTACTCGGGGGAGAAGGAACAGTGGTGGTGTCCTAGGTTGATGGCTACGTCAATAAAGTGCGAGCATGAAGCTCTGACCTTGATCCCCAGAACTCATGTGAAGCGCTGACATGCTGGTGCATGCGTGGAATCCATTTCTGGGAAGGTGGACACAGGGGCGTGCGTGGGCTCAGCAGCTGCCCTGGCCTAGTCCAATCAGGGAACCCCAGATCCAGTGAGGGAGCTGGTCTCAGAGAACAAGGCAGTTGAAGAGACGGCTCAGTGTTTATGAGCAGTAGACATGCATTTGGTTTCCAGTCCCTGCTCGGTGGCCTACAGCCATCTGTCCTTCCTCTGACCGCTGAGGGCCCCGGCACGCATGTACACGGACATTTGTGCAGCCCAAACACCCATACACATAAAATTAATACACCTAAAAAGCTTTTAAAAAGGTGGATGACTCCTGAGGCCTTCACACACACACACACACACACACACACACACACACACACACACGATGGTGAGAGCTTCCCCAGGCCTTGGTTACTCCATTTCTATCTCGGCCGGACACTGACGCTTCAAGTCAGTCCTTGGATCACATATTCCCGTCAGCAAGAGAGAGGCCCAGCCTTGAGGATGTGTCTCCTGGATACTGCCTGGTCAGTTTTCAGGATCATTTCATTGCCATTATTTAGCCAGCTGCTTCTGGTGCATAGGAAATATGGTAACAGCCCTGGCCTGGCTAACTGCCTTTTCCTTCTTTGCTTGTGTGCATGTGTTCATGTGGCTATGAGGCCCCTCAGGTGCCATGCACCTTGCTTTTAGACAGACCCTTCCACTGGCTGGAGATGATTTATTAAGCTAGCCTGGCTGGCAGTGAGTGCCAGGGACCCACGCCTCTCGTGGTGTGACCCAGGGCTGGGACCACAGCTGTCCCCACCGATGGCTGGGGGATTGAATTTGGGTCCCCATGCTTGGTCAGATGCCCCACCCACTGAGCTATCCCTCCTGTCCTTGTCTCCTTTCACTTAGAAGCAAGCTTTGCAGCTGGAGACACAACCCTGTCCGGGCTGCCATCAGTGGTTCCAGCACTGACCATGATGGCCATCTCAATCGCCACCTGTCTGAGGTGCTCAGGGAGGGCAGGCTTGGTGATGCCCCGCTGAGGCCTGCACAGAGAATTCCTCATCTGAGATCCCAGCTGCTCTTGTGACCGGCCCCCCACTCCAGATGTAATCCCCCGCCTCAGCTCTGTGCTGTTTTGAAAGGGGCTGGAGTATACAGAGTGGAAGGCTGACAGGAGGGAGGGCTTGGATTGACATCTGTGGGACGTGGGAAAAGTGAGTGGCGTCCTGGCACAGCCACACCAAAGACCCCACAGCCCCAGGCTCACAGAGGTGATGAAGCCTTCCTCAGGCCAAGTGTGAATGCTGACAGTGTGCACAGAAATGTCCACCAGAGCCTCCCCATCCCTCGTCAGTGGGCGGGAGACTACTCCCCTGCAGAGACTGCCTAGGTTAAGGTTAGCTGGTCCAGCCTCCTAGTTCCAGCTGTATACATACCAGAGCCCTATCCCCTGTCTGTCTGAATGCAGTAACCCTCTGTTCAACTGTACATAATAAACACACTGAGCTTTCCGGGTTCCTCCAGCACAGATCCAAGACCAGCTGATCCCAGCTTTCTGTCTGTGTGTCTGCCTCTTATTCATTCCGCTACGCCCTGAACCATGCTGGGCACTCTGGAGTCATTCTGCCATTTATATATAATTTAACTATTTAAACTCATGTATTTATCTATCTAGTTATTTATTGAGACAGGGTCTCTCTATGTACTCCAGAAACTTGCTGTGTAGATCAGGCTGGCCTAGAACTCACAGAGAGCTGACTACCTCCTCTTCCTGAGGGCTGGAATTGAAGGTATAAACCAGCGAGGTATTTTGCTATAGCTCAGGTTGGCCTGAAGCTTACTGTGTGGCCTCAGCTGGCCTTGAACTCTGCTTGGTTCTGCCTCCGCTTCCTAGATGCTTCAGCCGCAGCTAACTAGAACCAAACCTGACTAGAACCGTGGCTTTTAAGAAGAGATTGAGAACGGAAGCCAGCGCTATCATCGCCATGCCTTCCTGCCTGCAGACAGTTTCCAATCTGCACAGGCCGTCTGGGCCCACCTGAATCCCAAGAGTTAAGGCGCCGTGGAGGCTAAGACAGTTCAAGTCTACAGGGGACAGTGTAGGGAGAGGAGATGGGGAAGGGAAAACAGAAACATGAGAAGAAAGAAAGGACAGAGGGAAAGACAGATGGGGAGGAAAGAGGAGGAGGGGGAACAGAAAGAGGAGAAAGCAGAAGTAAGGGAGGAAGATGAAAAAGAAGAGAAGGTGGGGAGAGAGGGTGAGGAGAAGAAAGCAGGAGAGGAGGAGGAGGAACCGAAGAGGAAGGGGGCAGGGAAGAGACGAGAGAAGGGAGAGAAGAGGGAAGAGGTCCCCTGGCTAAGGCCTGCCCCTTCTCTTGGGTGACCCACTGAGTCCTTACCAGCACATGTACAGAAACTGAAGCCCAGAGAATGAGCTGAGGAAAAGCGTGGCTGGGAATAGCTCATATCCCTGGCAGCCAGAGGCTGAGGGTCCCCAGGACACAGGCTGCCGCACAGCCAGATGAGCTCCAGACCAGAGCTGACCTGGACTCCGCTGACGAAGCTTAAAAGCCAGCTCAGAGTCTGCATCTAACATGCAGGAAGCCCGGGTTCGAGTCTCCTCTCCCCTATAATCCCAGCATTCCAGAGGTGGAGGTGACAGGGTCAGGTAGTTCAAAGTCATGTTCTTAGCTGCATGAGGCCTTGTCTCAAAAAAAAAAAAAAAAAAAAAAGGCTGAAATCTAACTTCTAGAAATGGAACATTGTCTGAGATGAAAGAAGACTGGACAGGATTGACTATATTAGACACAGGAAGTACATGAGAGGGTTGACGAAGCTAGCACTGCATTGTAATCTAGCGTCAGAGGCAGGAGGAAGTTCAAGGTCATCCTCAGCTACAGAGGGAGTTTGAGGCCAGCCTGGGCTACGTGAGACCCCATCTGAAAAATAAAGCAGATAAAAGAAAGAAAAGGAGAGGACAATCCTCACTGCGGATCTAGAGAAGCAGGGATCCCTGGATCTTCTCAGCTATAGAATTCTGAGGTACGACCCGGTTCCGCTGCTGAACTCTGCGTACCCAGAAGACCT